ACAGTAGGTATGAATGAACTGCTTGTAAAAAATTCCCGTTCGACATTTGTTAAGACATCTGCTTTACAATGCTTATGATAAACATTACAATGCTCATGATAACTTTTGTTAACTCTACAATAAGTAAATTCACTTTACCAGCTAATTACTCCTCGACAGCGATGCCATAGAAATATACAGAACCGGAAGTTACGGCGCCTACGTTTGACGGCGCCTACGTTTCTCTGGTGCATAAGGTCTATGAGCCTGTGTCATCTAGAGTTTCATGACAGAACTTTGTATATTACAAGTTAAAGTGCCCATTTTAATCAGACGCCAAATGGATATATTAATGACAAGTTATCCCATTCACCTGATGTAACCAGCTGCAAACAATTTCTGTTGTAAACCGTATCAGGCCATTACATAAACAACAACAACAACAACAAAAAATATGACAAGTCTTCTCATTTCTCACTTTTAGATAATTAATAATACAAACAACAAATACATCATAGAAAATGTTATCTTATTCTGAATAGAGCATGGCACCTGCAATATCATCATCATGGGTTTGAGTCCTAGGAAATGCATCAGCAGATAAAATGTACACCTTAATGCACTGCCAGTTGCTTTTAAAAAACATCTACCAAAATACATAGACGTAAACTTAATTCTATAGAATTAGCTAAATTTGCTAGTGCTGCCAAATGACAGTTTGCTTTGTGAGAGTCAAACCCCAAAAGTTTGTGCCCTGACAAATACTGATAAAATCAATACATTGTTTAGAACCTGTTCAACCCAGGTGCTGTATATAAACTCATATATATTTGCTGAAGTTGGTTTTCCCCTAAAGAATAATTCAATCCAAGTGTAAGATTACACCAAGTAACTATTATAACAAGCTTCTGTTAAAACAAGTCACTACAGTTATCTGGTATAACTGTAAAACTGTACAACCATTCGACTCAAAATAATGACAAAAAAGATTCAGAAATATTCTATTTGTGGAAGATCCCGTTCATTTATTTAGAAACTATGGTTACAATGGTACTTTTTCGTAAGGGTTTATACAATAGGACCATGCATAAAAGGCAGGGGACTTTACATGACAGGCATTTTGCCACCGATTTCATCTCGTAACTACCCTGTAAAGAGTTGAGCCAAGAAAATGGGCTTGGCAGCCTGTGTTCAATATGTTCTCTCACCTGTTTATGTGGAGAAAACAGATGGCAAAAAGCAGATGTCGGATGCATTTTGCAATATGAAAGCAGTCATTTTCTTGTAACTTCATCTCTCGCCAAGCTTCATTTCAAGTCTCAGTAGAAATTACAAATAGCACACGTGGGAAGATTTGTAAATTATTTTCCCATTTAATGATATATCTTTACTAAAAGCTCATCCATTGGCTCTGCCTTGGATATGAAGTTCAGAACGTTCTTATTCAATGCCTGTCTGACAAGTTAGTGGCAGTTCAAATAACATTTGCTTGAGAACAGTGTATTTTTTTCCATCACACCTCTTCAACAGTCTGGCAATTCCAAGACTTCAAGCTTTGTTGGGGAACTGCACTTGACAACTCATCCCTCCATATGGTATAAAAAAGGAATGATGCTGCTCAAACAACTGAATTTTCAGCAAGAGGTTAAAATGTCTATCGCATAAACACTAGAAATGCCGTACGTAAACATCCTGTTTTTCCAGGATCAATTGGAAAGTCTAACAGACTTTACTTAGTCTAAAGTCTGGCTACACACCCTTTATCCTTTAACCAAGTTTAAAAATTCACAAAATCTTGAGAGTTTGCAATTGCTCCCTCATTTCAGCTTTCACATACAGCTCTTTAAGTTGATGGTCACGTGCGAGTCTCAGCTTGCATTGGACACGGTGCCCACAGCATTTGAGCAGTCATCAAGACTTCATGCCAGGGAGAGGGATAAAGGGGAAGTGGAAAAGAGGACGATGGCATCCCATATCTACAGCCCCGGGGCTGTCAGTCGGTCTCCTCGTTCTGGGGAGGGGTAAACCTGTTAGGTCTGGCTGGGAGACTAAACACTACCCTCTATTGGATGACACAGAGATTGTGCATGGTGAGGCTTGACCCTCGCTTGAACCATGGGAAGGTTTACAGCAATGAGAAAAGTGACCAAGCAGTGACCTTCCAATCTGATCCGATTCTAGTCAATCCAAAATGTGATAATGCGCATGAAGGGCATAAGCTACTTTTCATTTTGGAATGAAATTATACAGGGTGGGTTTAAAATTCTTCAAACTTGTTTGCTTACGTCAAGCTCTTGTTCTTCCATACTTAAACACAGATTTTGAGATTGCCGTTACGCAGTTTTACGTGTAGAAGGTGGCATTTCTTCGTAAAAAATTCTATATAATGAAAAAAAATGGCACTTGATTTTAGCTATCCTGAATTAACTGGATTATGATGAATTAGGCATTGCAGTCTAGGCTGAACTTGAGTTCGCTAAGCCAATGCATATATATATACTGTATATATATATATATATATATATATATAACAATTTCTAACAAAAAAGTTTCGAACTTTTGAACACTTTTCGTCTTCTCCCAGTCTCAGACCTTTTTAACATGTCCTCTGTTGGGGATAAAAAATTATACATGCCTCTTATGAAGCCCACATGGTAACTGCCAATTATGACTTGGCTGGATTGGTTATGCAGAAGGATCAGAGACGTTCTCTTACTTCAGGACCAAAGACACCAGTGTGTGAATTATTAAGGGCTGTAAACCCTAATGCTCAAAATAATCAATTCGTTTCAGTAGGGTTAACTTAAATGAAACTAATTAACTTTTAGGAGTATTTAGAGCTTTCTTTTTCTTTCAAGTTCATAAAATTTACACATTTTAAGTAATCTGAATTGTTTCATTGTTTTGAGTTGGATGAACTTGTTTCTTTTAATTTAGACAAACTTAAATTTAACTGAAACTGAGCTGGGATTCCTATTTCCCTGCATGCTTTGCCATGGCACTCTAAAGGGAAAATGTTTAATGTTAATTAGTTCTGATTTAGTTCTGTTTAATGTTAATGCAAGTCTGTCATGGGCTTATTTCAGGGGTTATCATGGTGATGAGATTGGTTTGAGAACAGATATATGTTAAATATTCTATATTGCCTTAGCATTAGCAAAGCATAGCAATTGCTGGATGAGTAAATTATTGTGTTACAAATTAGCAAGTTAACATTTACTGAATTAGCGAGTTAAAGCTAGTTTAAAAATATTTAAGTTGAGATTACATGATCATTTTAAGTTAAATGTATGAAATCACTCTCAAGTTACAAACAATTATAATGTATGAGTACAAAATAAAATGTAAAATTTTGAATTTCTTAACTTAAAAACTAAATTGTGTATCTGATTGCCTCAAAGTTTTGCCAAATTATTTGGGTTTGCAGTGGGGTCAACTGTTTTTAATGTTGAACACCAGATGTTGCTCTACAGAGCTGCATTGTAAGGAAAGCTTAGAATCAAACTCCAGTGTCTCGCCACCAATATCCTGTCCCTGTGCATCAGCTGCCACCCATTGACATTAACTAACACTATGACTGACATCTGTCTTTTACTATGTAAATAAGCTTTGTAAATAACAGGCACATCACAGGTTATTAAATCTCATTTCGAGTTATAACATGGGGGCAGACCAATAATTAAAAACAGTGCAAGAGAAAGTTAATAATTCTCACATTATCCCAGTCAATGCATGAGCTAGAAATGAGCAAATTTTGTGTATTAAATCATGTTTAGCATATGGTTTGTTTTCTCATCCAAATATGACATTACTGCGGTTGTTTAAACTCTTATCCCTTTATCCTCAAGTAATGAGACTGGGAGTCAGCACACAAGAACATACCCAGTAGATATTTAAATTGAAAATATATTGCTTACAAGAAAACGAAGCCTATTTGTATGATGCTTGTCCTAATAATAGTTAAGTGTTTGATGTACAGCTCTTAATGTTACAAATACATTGTTAATTTATGGTATGTATTATGGTAAATGTCAATAAGAAAAAAAACCACTTAGGTTCCAAAATTGAGTGTTGTCTGAAAGATAAGATTCATTTATATCTATTTAAATAAATATTTTTCTTTTGATTTTGGGTTAAAGATGACCTAGGCATATACAGCCATACTTCAGATTTCACCTATATACAAAACATTATATTTTAGAGCTTGAAGTAGCATCTTTTAGCTGACATACTCTGATGTATGATGTACTCATTTTGGTACACATAACACAAGAAATGTCTTAAAAGTCACTCAACTTCATTATTAATAAGCTTGGGCCCTAGTCTCATGGTTTAAATTACAATTAATTCACTTTAGACTTGTTTCTAGTCCCACAGCGTGCAGGGTTATTTCCCAAGAGACACCAGAAGTCGTCAGTTAAACGTAACCTCTCACTGCGCATCTTGGCAGGATTAAGAAAATCCACTTTTTATTTCCTCCGAGAGGGCTGGGTAAATTTCAGTAGCACACACAACCTCTGAAATTATCCAGCCAATACAAGCACAGATAAATCCGAGTTCTGTTCTGTTCCGAGTCAGCAGGAGCCTGTTAGAGGCATATGACTGTGACATAAGAAAAGGAAACTTGTATTTGGAAATGAAGCAGAAATATTTGTGCAAGAGCTTAATAACAGCAAAATGAATTAGCATGCATTCATTTGAGGAACATGATTAAGGATTTATGAAAAGGCCTGGATGAAAGAATAAGAGACGTTATGTAATGGTAATCCTTCTATGAACAACATCCCTACTAGTTTGTGGTGCTTACTAAGTATTAAACTTAGTCTGAGCGAGGAGAGTTGTGTTATGTTCTTTTAGTCAATAAAACAGGTGAAAAAAGCCTGATGAAAGGACCCAAGTCATATCTAGAGACTAGAGTATCATGAACACTTGGAGGGCTCTTTTGTATTGGACCAGTAAGCAAGCACCTACCGACCAAAAAGCGTGAGAACACGTTGGCAAAGAAATGAAAGGCTCTTCCAAACATTTAAAACAATAACATTTATTGCTTCATCTGAATACTGTATTAAAACCACACGCATTCAGTAATACACCAACAAAAAAAATACATGGATGCACAAAAGGCCGTGAACACAATGCTCTACAAAACACTAGTTTACAGAAATTTAAAAATTCTAAATATCAAAAATCACACAGCTGCAAAACGGCAGCCGGCTGTTATCGGTGGGACAACTCAGGGTTGGACTGTCACAAATGACATTGTAATTGAGCTAGTCAGAGCACTCAATAACCACCTGCCAAAAACAAGATCAGAATGTTGGTATAAATTAACGTGAATCATCAAATCAGTTTAAATCAAGAGGTAAATGTACCTGACAAACCACTTAGCTTCAATGCAGCGCAGACTGCACAATAACACAAAAGCGAAGGTGGTAGCGTGTGAGAAAAAAGATTTTACATCCCGTCAGTTACACACATAGGACCAGAAAGAAATGTTACGCTAGGCTTGAATTATTTAACAGAACAAAGATAGCTATGGCTTGTATTTGCTTTGAACATAACTGTAAAAGCAGCCAGTTATGGTTCTCCAGAAAGAGCAAGATGATTAACTCCACTGCCCTGATGTTTGACACTGTGACTAAAATATTAATACACCAATGCAGAGACGACACGTCCTAGCAGGTGTCCTAAACTTAGAAACAAGACTGGATGCAGATCAAACGTTCTCCTTAACAAAGACTAAAATATGGTTAAATACAAGTTAAGCTTGAACAACAAGCTGTCATTTACAACAAAATATTGTGTGTCTGAAACGCATCTATTATAAGTATTATTATAAGTCTATGGGCAAGCGACATCCTCTTGTTGAAAATATTTCCTTTAGTAACTGAAATACTTCAACAGCTTTATCAATAGACTTTAACTTGTATTTAGCCATGAATATGCCATTTAGTGGCGTCAGAGTCGACAGTGTGATTACTGGACACCAAAGAACTTAAGTCGAATCGCTTTGACAGACTGGCAGAAACCGATGACATGGATGAAATTAAAGGAAAGAAATTGTAAAAAAAAAAAAAAAAAAAATTAAGTTTAAAACTTGACTTCAGCAATAAAAATCATATGTACATCTGCATAAAGTGTCCGTTTGGGAAGGTTGGAGAAGTTAGGTGGACTCTCGACCAAAAGGCGCATGGTGGTAGACTGTGGTGTTGCTTCTGATGGCCTTTGTGGAAGGCCACTTAAGTGTGTGCCGTTTAATCTCCACAAAAGAACGCAGTTATTGTTTAGGGCAGTAGTCTGCAGGCTTTTAGTCCTGCTCCATAGGCTCCTCCTCTGCGCCCTCTGAGTCCAGGGCCCTGACCCGGAGTCGCCCTCTGTGGGCGACTCCACGCTACTGCTGCTGGATGTGGGTCCAGAGGCATTTTCATCAGTGCTACTGCTGCTGACCTGCTCGCTTGGCTCCTCCCCTTCCTCACCTCAGGGCTAGAGGCCACACCCGCCGGGGCTCTCTGCTCTGATTGGTCCATATCACTGGGCTCTTCTGAGGAGTCCTCGGAGCCACAAGGAACCTCTCTCTCAGTAAAAGCCTCTCTGGAATCTGCGGCGGGACACTCAGGCTGTGTGCTGGAAGGCTCTATGGTTGGCAAAGAATAGAATACATTGGATAGAGCATTGTTTAGCGTGTTAAAACCCAAAAAGTGGAGAAACATATTACACTACCTTGGTCCTCAGAGCGTTCAACTGAACCATGAGGTTTACTTTCCTCCTCTTCTTCACTCCCCCCTGCAACATGGATGACGGTGATTCAGCATCCTCCGACTTATCTGAGGAGCTTTTGGACGATGTAGATCTGGGTTTCTCGACAACCTGCTCGTCTGCATCTTCATCTCATCTTCTTCATTTGCCATCCTCGTTGAATTTGAGTCTCTTTACTTCATGTTCCTCCTCTTCCATTCCTTCATCTTCCTCATCATCTAAGTGTTTGTTTTTAACAGAGCTGCTGAGAGGTCCACCAATGCCTGATACAGATGCATCACTGAAACACAAAAGATATATTCTGTGATTTCTCTAATGCAAAGGACATTTTGGGTTGCTGAAGCCAAGCCGTTTAATTATTCATCATGTGAGAGATAAGTGAACATGTTCATTGATTTAACCATCAGTATTTTACACAAACAAAATCATGAAAGATAGATAGATATGATGGGAAACATTGACTACCTGGCTGTTTTGCTATGTCCTTGTGATGAGTTCGTCTCTTTGTTTTCTGTACTGTCCGGAAGGCCGTTTGTGGCCAGCGAACTGGCCATGGAGTGTTTCTGTCTGTTTAATGTCTGGGTGTTCCTGGACCATTCACTTTCTGTAATATACAGGACAATCAAGTTGAGTGTTTTATGACTGGTGTCTTTATATGACTGGACCTAAGCTAATTTTCCTAACCTCTCTGTAAAGGCAGACGTGTTCCCTGGCAACATGACTCCATTCATTCTGTTGACACCACTGCAGCCATTTTTCCTACAAAGGCCAAAAATAGCTCTTCATTGTCCACAGTAATTAAAGATATCCAGGTGATCAAATTAAGATGTAGCAGCTTTATGATTTTATTATTGAACAGTAATTACTTACTCAGATGTAGGATAAATGCAACTGACCACCATCACATTCTGACAAAGAGAGAGAGAGAGAGAAAAAAAATCAGTATCACATAACATAAGCAAAAACTCTATATTTACAACCTACAAAATAAAAAAAAATTAAATAAAAAGTTAAACTTTTTGCTTGTATTTCTTCAAGATGTGG